TTTGTTTCCTAGATTACAGTTTGCTGCAGATGTGTGTGCTGCAGCCTTTCATCTGGCTCTGGCTGAATAATTCACTCAGGGTGAACCAACGCTGTCAAAGAATTTAAATCCCTGGATCTGATCCACTGGCTGCTAGTTTCTGCTCTCTTTTACACCATGATGCAACTATTTTCTTTCATGATAAGCGTAAAGGTGGCTTGGGATTTAGTTCCTTCTGTTGTCTGTGTATACTTGGGTCAGTGCGAAGCTTGGTGTGCTCTGCCATATGTTGGCTCTGTAATACCTTACAGCCCTTAAGGCCACACAGCACATCGTGGCATCAGATTAACGATGTATTTCTCTAGAGGATGGTGATGTGGGTATTTGAGGCAGTTTCACCTGAGCCCCTTTCCTTTTTAATTGCGATGTTTCAGGGCCTGTGACAGAGCCTGGAGAGCTGAAGGCAGATCTTAGGCAGTATAGGCACGTGGAGAGGGCTGAATGTGAGTAGCACGTAATCCCCTGCGCCGCTTGGCCTAGATGCCAAGGATCATTCCCTGGAGCAGATGTCTTTGATGATACTGGCATAGCTTTTGTGGCCTTGACTCGAGAAAGTATAAAGCAAGAAGGTGGCTTTGCATATCATCTGCTGTGAGCCCTGTGCGTGAAACTTCTGAAGAGATTAATACCTCGCTGGAAGAGCTGTAGGGCTCTGCGCATGGGAAGAGATGAAAAGCTTTAGATCCAGGTGCTATCTGATAGGAACCCAGACAGCTGTCCTCCCTGTGGGATCACCGCTAGGGAAGGGGTCTGCGGTGTCTCCCTCTGCATCCTGCTTGGCTTGCCTGGACAGCAGCATGTGGAAGGATAAAGAGGAGGCTGGATTCATAGCCACATGCCTCTTGTGTGGTGTAGCGCTAACACAAGCTACTCCTGTTCCTGCAGCTTCTGATTTTCTGCATTTATTTCCTATTCTTTCTCCATGCAGGTGGTCTTTTTAAAATTAATTTGCACTTGATGATACTGTGAAAATACTAAATCTCCTTGCTTTCTCCTTTTTTTTTCTAAAAAACAAGAACAATGTCAGGAAGGTCAAGTCTGGGTTTGATGGAAAGACCCCTGGCACAGCAGGGTCGTGCATTGGCTGAGCAATGCTGTGATGAAGCTGGGTGAATTAGGATGTTTCTTCTAATGGTTGATGGTGTCACTTAATCATTCTGAAGCAAAAAAGCTGGTAACAAAATCCAAATCCCTTTTCTACCCTCTGCTGAGCTTTAAACGATCCCAAAGTGTCTCAGTTGTGTGGAAATTTGGTCTGCTTTGGGATTGCTTCTCTTGTTTTTAACCTGAAATTGTGATTGTCTGAAGTAACAACCCCAAACCAGAAAAGGTTTCTCTATTTAAAAAGATCCACTGTTGATGTTTGTCTCCCTTAATTCTTCGTAGAGGGGCTTAAAGAAGCCAGGCTCCCCTCCCCTCTCTGCTTCCAGGTTATCTCCAGACAGAAAGCTCAGTTACCGCCTGCCTGCCTCCCTGCAGAGCCCTGCAGGGTGCCTCTGCCTACCAGATGTGCTTGATCCCGCACTCAGGAAGGTGAGGCAGGGGTTAGCACCTTCACCTGTTCGCAGCTTCAAGGCAAGCTGGGTAATGGCAAACATTCATTAGAAGCCAAATTAACAGGCTCCTCCCCAGCCCTTCCTGACCACTTGCCTTTCCACAAAGGGCTGATTAGCGATGTGCCTTATCTCAGCAGACATTTATATGCCTGAGGTCATTTCTGAGGTCTCTAAGTGTGCCTGTGTTATTCCGAGGGCAGGGATATGCACATCAGCACAGATTTCCTCTTCCAGCACCGCTCTGCTCCTCTTGTAGTGGGGCTTTGTGTGGTTTGCAGCTTTGTTCAGCACAGAGGGAAGATGAAATGCTCTTGCTTTAGAATTGGCTTCTCTGTCTCTTTCCCAGTCAAAAGAGCGAGGTGCACTGCTGATTTTAGTCATAAGATGCCTGGCGTACTGTCCCAGCTCTTCTGCACGGTAATAATTTCGTAACAGCACCTCTGACTGGCTTGTGATGGGCTCTCACGGGAGCCCCTCTGCTGCATGGGTGCAGTCATGGGTTTAGTGGCAAGGGTGTTTGATCCTGTGCTGGTTTTTCACATCACCGTGGGAGGAGGAGTTGGATTTTCCCCTGCTGGGGTCATCCAGTGCAGCCCTGATGCTTGTGCTGGGAGTGTCAGTGGCTCAGGGGAAGAAGATCTCAGCCTGGATTTTTTATTTTTGACTCTTAGTTAGCAGAGCTAGAGATCGTGAGCCACAGTGAGCTGGCCATGAGGATATGATGGGCCTGGAGCTCACACAGCTGGTGGCCTGCAGGTGGATGCTGTGAGGGACTTGATGTGAAGCAGAAGGAGATGTTACGTGAGCAGATGGATTACCTATTTAGGACTTTTGTTCTGTTTTCTGCTATCTCCTTTTCCCCTAACAGGAAACTGCCTGTGGCTTTCTTGCAAGGGCCCACGATCCAGCTTGACTCACTGGTCTGAATTATTACTATTATTACTATTATCTTTGCTTGGGGTGCTGGCAGGGAGCCAGAAAATTACTAGGCTTCTCTGTGACTTCATCATTCCTCAGAACTGAACTTCTGAGTACTGGCAAGGGTTATGTCAAAAATGGAGAGGCAAAGGAGAGCACAGAAGGCCAGCCACGTAGAATTTCCTCTCCCTTGCTCTGTATCAGGACCACCACCCTGCTGGGGCAGACTTGTGTCTTTCAAGGATGGTTTCCACTGCTCTGTGTGCTTGAGATGTAAATCTCACACGGTTTTTAGGTTTGGTAAGACGATGGGAAGATAAAAAGTCAGTATTTTTAAGGCAAATCTGGAAGCTGTGGATACAGCTCTCTGCAGGTGAGTTCAACTCTTGGCCCCTGCTCCCTGATGGCTGGAGGAGCAGGAGGGAGAGATCAAACCTCACTGGTCCAAAGCTGCCTGCACCCACGAGTGCTCAGAGGACTGCTCACTTCCTTAGCATTGTAACCACATGTTGATGGAGGTGTTACTCATGGAAGCAGAATTCTTCTCTAACATCAGACGTTGCGTCCTGTTGCCTTTTTTATTATTTCTCAAACACCACTATTTTATGATGCCAGTGTAACATCCTTTTTTTTTTTTTCTGTTCAGTGTCATGGAAAGTTGACTTTTTGCCCTGTCTCAGCATCCTCTTGCTCTCCCAGTGTCATATCTGGAAGATAATCTGCTGTTGAGGTCTTTCCCACGTTACCTTACCTTAGGAAGCACCCAAGAGATGCACAGCCCCTTTGAGTTTGTTCAAGGCATACTTGCAAAGCAGCTGAGATACTTTAGGCACCTGCCTGCTTTTCGTCATGCCCTGTCTGGCAGTTATTACCTCGAAAACCAAAAGTTTCTCCGGAGGGCAGAGGGGTGGCCCACCAGGGTACGGGGCACTCACAGGCCTTCCCTTCAACAGAGCTGCGGGTGGGTAGCGTTCAGCCAAGAGGCAGTGATATCTAAATCCACCGGTTTGCCAAGTAAAAAGCTGTCCCCAGCCTTAGAAATGGATTTAAACCGATTGAAACATGAGGTAGTTGGCTGGCTTTGTCGTGCTGAGGACGGGATGAGATTCTGCAGGAGGCTGGAAGCCCCAGCAGGCCTGCGGCGCGTCGGGAGGGAGGCCAAGAGGAAAGGCACCGAAAAGCTTTTAGCAAGCCCGTGAGCCGTGGGTAACAGCTCCAAAAGCCTCCAAATTCCCTTTTAAAAGTGACTGGGATGCCCCTACTGACTCCGACTGGGACTTGGTTCCCAGGGCAATGTTGGCTTGAGGGACTTTCAGCCGCTGAGAGCTGCAGGGTGGCCTCTGCGGCTTCTGGAGAGCCCCGAGTGTGTGTGTGGGTGGACGGGTGCCAGGGCCCACTTGTGTAACACAACGTGCAGGGCTCGGTGGTCAGAATTACCCCGGTTTGGCTGCTTTGAGCTAAAAGGGAGAGGAGTCGAGGGACTGAAATCATGCCCTTTTTCCCAGAGGAGACTGAACCGAGCAGACATCCGAAGGAAGCGAATGATGAAATAGGGAATGGAGCCAAAGCTTCCTGCATCCCACAGCAGCCTGGCTGCTGGTCCCGTGCCCTGATCCTGCCCATCTCGATGCACTGCCCTCCTCCCATCCCTGCCAGGTGGGGTGTGTGCTGCTGGTGGGCTCATTTGGGAAGATGTGGCAAAGAGAGTTTAAGTGATTGGGCCCACAGCCACCCATAAAGTGTGTGGAAGCGTTTTCTATTTTTTTCTCTGGCTGTTAAAGCAGTCTTGCACTTTATCTGATAAAAGCGCACAGCCTGAAAAAATACCCTCGTATTCTGCCATTGTCTTCCTCAAAAACCATTTCCCATTTTATGTGGATTAAACAGGAAGAGGGATTCAATGTGACCCTACCTGAGGCAGGAGGTGACGTACAAGCTCTCTAATTTAGTCAACTGGGAGGAAACAGCTGGACCTTCTAACGTGAGATGTTGACTTTTTTTTATATTTTCCTTTTTTATGCTGTGTCCTCTTAATCAGAGCCCGCTCGCACAAAGGGAATTGGTTCCCAGATACCATGGAGAAGAGCAGAATTATCAGAGGGGGCTGGCAGCGCCCTACCTGGCTTGGCATTGTGAAGCTGAATGCTTTCTTGTAGCTCCAAGTGGCACCTCCTGGCCTGGAACATGCTGCATAAATATTGCATGAAAAAGGCAGAGAGCTACACAGTAGCATACTGTTTGAAATTGGAGGTGTCTGCTGCTTAATCAGGTCGAGTCGAGACCAAAATACAGGCATGGCAATGGAAAAACTCCCGGTAGCTTCCCTGGGCTTTGGCTCACACCTTTATAGAGAGGCTTTATTGAAAGTTTTACTCAGAGTTTGTAAATACCATGTTTGTTTGTTTGTTTGCTTTTTTTTTAATCATAATGCATCTCCTTTTCTCTTTACTATAAAGCAAAACCACTCTCCAGGATCTTTGTTCCTCTCTTCTGGGCAGGGCCATCATCACTTTTGGGGGGAGTGGGAAGAGGAAAGGCAAAAGAAAACAGGGCAGATTTCTTTACCTGAAAGGATTTTGAAGTGAAAATCTCACGAGCTAATTAGAACCTTCCTAGTGCTCACTTTTTCTTTGTACTGCCTTCCATCTGAATAGTAACAACCCAGTCAGTCTTTCCGAGTCACGTTCACTAAATGTCGGTAATATGCTGTCCTTACTGTATGTATTTATATTTTTTCTGAATATGTAAAAGCCTTTAGTACAAAGCAGGGCTGGTTTTGCTCTAAGAAGCATGCAGACAAACCTGAATGTTTGTCCTGACTCTTGATTAAGCAGTGAGCACTGAATTGCAAAGGTGAAGAAGGATCATGTAAGGAAGGATAACGTAATAAGACATCAAATTGCTCCGGAGTGGAGGCAGAGCAGAGAGATCCTGTTCATTGTAATACCTGTAAGTGCCTGAACGTGGATGGTGTTACCTGGTGCTGTCACGCTTGGACTGACCTTTGTGACACTTGTAAAATGTCCTTCTCCTGATTTTGTTTAGCTGTTGCTTTTTGCCAGGCTACTCCATGTTCCAGCTGCTGGGAGAGGAGCTCGGTGTGTGGCTAACCACCCAACTGCCAGACCGGGAGCTTTCTACTTGTGTGGGCAGAACTTACATCCCCGAATCAGCGCCTTCATCACAACTTCTCATACTGCTCTATAAAGCTTCAGTGTGTCCTTAGTGGTCTCAGCAGTCCCAGACATGGAGCAGAGGGTCAGGGCATACCCTGGTTTCCCAATAAGGCTGTGATGCTGCTGTAGTCACATTTGTAATCATAACGAACTTCTCCAGTTTGTGGCACTGACTCACTGGATGGAACAAAATGTTGACAGGCTTTAAGTGTCCAGAAATGTGTGTACAGTCCTGGCTACACCGTGTTTGAAACATAACTAGCAATAGCTGTGTTTTGAAATGTTGCTCTCTCAGTTTCTCTGACCAATGGCCCATGTTTTATTTTTCCTATAAACCACGCTAGCCAAACACGGTGATGCACCAGGCTCCTAGGCCCTGAGCACTTCGTAGAACACTTTTATAGGCTTGATACAAGCTTGTGTGTAAGGAAAACATCCCTATCTGCATTCATCAGGAGAAATGTGCAAAGCCAGCGTTAACCATAGCTGTTCTGAAGTCCTCCACAGCTGCCCCTGACATACTGGAAGCATGCCTACAGATCAAGCATTCCTGGATGATTTAATAACTTCATACATTAAAGTTTGCAGTTAACGTTCGGTGTGATACTGAATTCAGTGTTACACTGGCGGACAGGTGATGAATGGGCTGATACAAAAGCCACATTCCTCTCTGAGGACATGCACATTTAGGATGCTGGGCATGCTTCTCGGCTGCCAGCCTGCTCCTCTAGGGCATTCCCTCTTGTCTTGCATCCCAGGGTCTGTGGAAGTATTTGGGGTGATGTGAGGAAGGTGATCTTTCTGGGGAGCTGGCTTGGCAGGAGGCAGGGGGATGCTATTTGCAGTGTCTGCATTCCCTGTCAGCGAAGCTCAGCAGCCCAGGTGAAATCTTCTGGCCAGGTACCCCTTGCAGCAGAGAGCACCTGAATTACCACTTTTCTTACTCTGTGAAGATAAGAATTTCTAACTGCTTCCTCAACGTGACATTTTCCATCTCCTTAGCTCAGGCTGTTCAATTATTGCTTATAACTTCACCTACCAAGGTGGTTTCGGTGTGCTGTTTGGGTGAACCTTTAGACCCCTAACACCTCAAGCAAAATACTCCGAGAAACAATTTTGCCATCTTCTATTCCCCTGCCCTGCGAGTGCTTTGTTGCACTGTTGCTGAACTCAGTGAATTTCCTTTGCCTCTGGACGTTTGGCACTCTGCCACCTGCTTCCTCTCGAGCAAGGGACCAGCAATTCGTGGGATGGATGCTGCGATGGGAGAGCCCGCGGAGCTCCCAGCCCCCAGCAGGAGCAGGGCAGCTGGCACAGCCCCTGCTCCCGCCTCCGTTTGGAGGCCTGCAGTTTCCCAGGGCTGTCACTCCAGCAACTTTCACCAGCATTAAAATCACTTAGAATTTAAAAACAAACAAACAAGGATATGTGAAGTATTTTCCTGGAAGAAAGCCACGGAGAGCCGATGCAGTGCATCTCCCTCCCTCCTTCCCATCTCCCTGAGCCTGTCGCAGGAGGGAAGCCTGGAGTTCAGTGTTTCCCTAATGTGGGATTAAAACAAGCTCTGGGACTGGTTTGTGGGATAGGGAAGGCAGGAGCATCAGGGAGACTGTGCACGTATATTTGTGTGTGTGTATATCTCAGGCTAAACTTATCAGAATCCTTGAACCAACATTGAACATCAGTACTAATGTGTCTTTTTATTAACGAAAGGGCTGCTTGTTTGCTCTTAATAATGGGAGATCAGAGCTGTTGGCTGAAGTAGAGGAGGATAAGAAGTGACTAATGCCAGAGGAACAGCCATGCTGGTCTTCCACATACTGAAAGGTAGCGATCCTGTATCTTCTGTATTGTACAAACCCTGGACAACCTTTATAAGTTCTTTCCTTTCCCCAAATCCAAATATGTTTTCCTCTAATGCTTCAGCAGGTGATGTTTTATAAAGACAACACAGGTTGTTTTACTCGTGTCTAGAGCAGTAACCAGCCTCCAACATGCTCTCACTTGAGGCATATGGAGGAGCCTCGTCTCTCAGCTGTTACTGCTCCAGAAGAAATTTTCTGTTTAATCTTTTGCTGCCGTCTCTGTGATTGTAACAGTCTGTGTCAAAACTCTGGGCTGTTTTGGGGAAGCAGCTTTCCACCTGCTTCTGTGCTGGGCAGCTGGAGCTTGCATTTCATCCCTGAATGTAGACATCCCTGATTTGTAAAGGAAGGTAAGTATCATTAGTTTTTTAACTAAAAAATAGTTTAGGTGAATTTGTCCTGGGAGACGACCCTTGGGGGCTGCAGTACCCATGCTCAGGGGAAAAAAAAAAAGTCAGTTGTTGTCTTTAAATCTCTTGCTTTTCTCTTGGCCTGAGGATCAGCGGCTTTTTGTATTGCACTGGCAATTCCCTAGCGGCACTGCAGAGCGATGCTGCATGTGAGACGTACTTCCCTCTCACGTGAAGCCTCATTTTTTAGGGGAACAACTGAGATTCCTGCCCAAGTGAGCGGGATCAGAGGTTATACTGCCTGGGAATGGGAGCAGGACGTTGCCACTCGGAGCCTTGGCCTCACTGCTGAACGTGTCAGCCAGATTGCTTGTCTGGGGCAGCCCTGCTGGTGGTTTCTGCTGGTCTCAGCTGTGGGTAGCACTGTGCATCTGCGTGCCCTGGCGGTGGTCAGGACAAGCATGGGGATCACTGGTTTACGTAATTCTTCCCTTGTTGTACTGGGGAAGTGTGCAGTTGTTTGGTAGGAACTGGGGTTTTGATGTGAGGTTTTGTGTGCGTGTGTTGTGCTTCTCTTTTACCATTTGCATGGCTTTGCCTTTGTGCAAGAAGAGGGCATGGCCAGAGAAATGGGACAGAAAGCAGATGTTTGCAGTGGATCTTTAGGTCCTGTTGAAGCTGATCCAGCTTCAGGATCCTGAACAGACCCTAAGAATACACTTTTACTCTATTTTTTTTTCCTCCTCCTTCCAAAAAGGACCAATCTTGCCATGGTGTTGTTTCCTGTTATCTTAATTCTGGAGTTTTGGGTGACCTTCTGGTGTGGTAGAACTGGACTGAAGGGCATCTCGTGAATGAGCACTGAAGGCTCCCACTGTGTTTGACGGTCTGTAGAAGGACAGAATATAGCACTGCTGTGCTTCCAGCAGCCTTTGCACCTGAAGAGAGGTGGCTCAAAGCTTTCCCTGTGTGCTAAGGGCTTCATGGGGCTCTGCCCACTGAGTTGTTGTATGGCGATGCTATAAGCCATCAGGGCTCTAACTCATCTGGTGAGCAGAGTGGGATCGTTTGTCACCAGGCCCTGGCATTCGTGGGAGCTGGGCATCCTTGGGATTGAGTTGGGATCTTGGAGAGGAGCTGAAACTTCTTGGCTTTTGTTTTGCTGCATGGCTAAGAGGTGTTGGCTGGGTTATGGTGAAGATTTTGACTCAGACCAAGTCAAGGATGCAACTGGCTGCATGATTTGTGTCACAGGGGACTTGAAAACATCTTAAGGAGTCAGACGAAGAAATGATGCCCACTGCTTCTGTTCAAAGAAGGGCAGAGTTAGGTAGTACTAACCCAGGACTGACAGTCCAAGCGTGATTGAACGTGTCAGTTATCGGCCAGCACCCTTCTGCCCGGTCCTTTATCAATCATTTACATCTGGTTAACGTGAGCAGTAGCAAATTTGAGTCCAAGCCCCATTGCTGGAAGTCCAGCACGTTGTATTTGCCAGCGTGTTGTGATAGGAAGGGTTAAACGAGTGGTGATGTTAGCTGATGGTCGCTCTCGGCGGTAATGCGGCGGTGAGTGCTGAGGTGACATGGGAACGCTCCTCAGCTGACGTCCTTGCGAGCCTCTCAGTGACATCAAACTCCTGGACCTTGTCCAGGCACGTTTGGCCTTGCCCCAGTGACAATAGATGTTAATCTGCCGGCTTGTCAGAAAACCGTGTTAGTGGTTTTTTCACAGACCTATTTCCAACCCTCAGATTTCCCTGCTAGTAAACACAGCGTTATGTCATTGTTGTGCCAGAAGCCAAGCTCCGAAGCCAACTTTGCCATGCTGTCGTCAGCGAATGTCCATTCACTTCAGGTCGTTAGCTGAGTTCCCAGGCTCTCCCTTCCCACTGTTGGCTGTGTTCTGGTCCCCGTGCCCATCAGAAGCCAACAGGAGCTTTATGGGAAACGTGTAGGGCCTGGAAGTTGTGGCTAATACCTTCAGCCTGAGATGGGGCTCCTGTATCTGCTTAGCAGATGGCTGTTTGTAAAGCTTCGTTTTCCAGTAATTTTAGCTGTAACAAATGCTTAATTTCATGACTTCCCTCGTGCAAGACGAGCTGAGGGGTTCTGCAGCCTGAGTGATAAAATAATAGCCAAGTCATAGCCAGTGGCAATCCTTCTTCTCATGCTAGCTCCCGTTTGTTTCAGACACAATAGTCGAGTTCCTGTTAAATAGAGTGCTTGTCAGATTGCTAACGTTATAAATTAACTTCCTTAGTTTTCAGAAACAACACTCCCCATAGCTGAAATAAGGCCATTCATGCCATTCTTGTAACTATTGTTCCTTGTTTTGCTCCTAGACTTGTTTCCATCTGCCTCTGCAAAGGGTGTGAAAGTAAAGATTTATAAAGTTACCTTCGGTGGTTGGGATCTAAGCTGCTCAAACCAAACAAGTCCTCTATCCCTAGCTCTAGTTTGTTTTTCTGAGGTTGGCAGAGGTCCAGTCCTTCTCATACTAAGATCTGCCCAAAATGTTATCCTGAATCAGCTGAAGTACTCTAAAAGCAGAGGAAGGAAGAGAGGGAGAGATGCTTGTTTGAATGCAGATCCTGGGTTCTTGTGGAACGGGGACAAATAGGTGATGGAGAGAAACAGGTTCGGCCTCTCAGCAATGGTGCAGGAAATACGGCATTCTTGGGTAGGAGGTGGGATGAAATTAAATGTATTTTTTCCCCACTATGTAATTAAGCTGAGGAACACCTTGCTGAAAGTCGATATGAAGGCTGAAAATACACATTTCCAAGTTTCCGGGGACAGGGCTGACACCTAGCAAACACGAGCTATGTTGGGATGTTGGGTGAGAAAGTCAGAAATCTGCTGACTGCCGAAGGTTAAGTAAGCAGTGTCCTCTCTTTAGCTCTTACGTAGTTAGTATCTAGCTTCACTGAAAATGGGGAGCTGAGCTTAGATTCAACTTCACTTCGGCCAAGCCTGGGTCTTCTGCTGCTTTCCTGGATGTCCCTTAGCTGTGTGGCACCAGCTCGATCTTCTGAGGCTCGCTGCATGGGTGCTGATATTAGTTGGAGCTGTTGAGCTGTGGCCAGCTGAAGTTAGGAAGCGAGCCTCCCATCATCGCTCCCAGCTCCCTCCTGTGCTCTGCACACTGTTCTGTGGATCCCGTCGTGCTTTTCTGGGCTGGTGTCACTCATCTGGGCCTTGACAGCTTGGTTTCTGCTTTCCAGCCCTGGGTCAAGTGGCAATTTATTTCTGTAGAGGTATTGTGGCTGGTAGTACTATTAATATATATTTGGACTTTGAACTTATCTACTGCCTTTCATGAAAGCATCCCCAAACACTCGATGCATCGGCATCTCTTTGCGAGGGAGGCAGATTAGGCACGGAGAGCAGTGTGCACACAGTAACATATCTCTGGCAGAAGTCCCTTTTCATAATATCAGTTGATAATTTGGGCTGATGGAAGAAGTGGTTTTATGGCTAAACGTGCTGTGAAGTGGGTCATGGGACTGCAGAACACGGACCTAGGACAGCCCAAGGCTGATGGTATGTGAGCGTGTTGCATTCCTGCATATGACCCTTCAAGGTGGTTGGGTTGGCTTGACTGGAAGCCTCAATTCCAATGCAGAAGCTTTTTATTCATGCCTATCCTGATTCTGGTATTGTCTTCTTTGCATAAACAGGTCTCTTTAAGTTTGCTTTGACCTCCTGTCCCACTTCTCTGTTTTGTAGGGTGACCGATCCCTTCTTGGCCTTCGTTCTGCTGAGCTGCTCTAACTCCCTCCTGTAGAGGAGGCCACTCTCAAAGCCAAACAGACTTCCCCACCCCACACTTCTCAGCCGTAGCACGCTGAATACAAGTAAATTGGTGAGCTCAAGCATGGATTAGCAGTTCAGTCTGGGCAACTTCAAGCACGTAAAGGGAGAATTCACACTGGAACACGGCCTTGCCCGTGCTGGCGGCTGCCAGATGCAGCCCCTGGAAAAGGTTGACCTCAGGGGGAGGTTTGCCAGCTGTAGGCAGATGTGATGTGGAGGAGACAGGCTCTCAGGACTGTCCTGGCCCTGAGCTGTGGGTTGGGTCAGCACGGAGGAGGCTAATTGTTGGGGAGCACCTTCTCTCATGGTTTCGTTTTCTTCCCTTCAGGGAATCTCGGAGAAACTTGTTCCAAAGCCTTGCAAAGTGACACTCCACTTGCAAAAGCAGTGAAGAGAAAACACGGCTGATTATGTTCCCACGTTAGCTTTAATGAGGGTAATCTTAAGCAGATGGCGTCTATTTAGTGTTCTGAAAACACAGACCAAGTAGTTTTCAGCCAGCCTTGGGAGCAGAGCAGGCGAGATGAAGGGCGTTGGGGCAGCAACTGGTAGAGCTGGAGGAGCCCTTGGGTGAGTCCTGGCGTTGGGGCACCCTCTGCTCCTGGGGGACACGTCCCCAGGGTGTCCCGCTGGGGTGAGAGGCGAGGTGGCCTGCGGTTTCTGCCTGAGCTTCACCAGCAGTAAATAATTTCCAGATTGACGTTGTGGAAGCGTGCTGCTTTTGTGAAGGGAGGACAAGGGGGGAGCCAAACACAACAAGAGCTTCTCGGCGCTTGGGGAAGAGAGCCAGGGTCACGTTTGGAGCTCGTAGCAATTGGCAGGCGCGGGGATGACGTGCCGGGGCACTGATGCACTGGGGGAGATAACCAGGCCAACTATCAGCCAGCTGCTCCCTAGGTTGTTTGGGGATGCTGATGA